ACACCAGAATTAACAGCTGGCTCTCCTCATACTTGCTGCTGAGTTTTGTTATTATCTCACTGTCTCTGTAAGGGAACGGGGAAGGGAAATAATACGCAGAATTATTATAAAATAGGCAAAGCTCTTTTTTTTTTTTTTCATAGCGTGTAAGTTTGGGCTAGACTTCTGACTACTCAGTGCTGTTGTCCTGTATTTCGTTTCTTTTTTTAACACTATTTTTAGCTTTTTCTTCAAAGCTCACTTCTCTAATAAATTATCCTTCTGGGAATAAATTCAATCCAGAAGGATGCCTGAGGCACAGCAGGATTTTTCCACAGTGTTTCAGGCCACATCACTCTAGACGGAAGGAAGCTACAAAACCTGCTGCTGTGGATCAGCCTTTGCTCTGGGAAGGAACTGAGGGATTAATTTAGACGTTAGATGTGTCTTCTACATGAGACGGGGCACCGCGTGCAGGAATATGTGTCTGAAATGGAACCAGAATGACATTTCTATCCCATATACTGGTCTTTGCTATGACATTTTTCAGCGTGCTGGCAGGCACAGAGCCATTCGGAGTCAAACACAGCAGAAAATCTGAACGTGGATCTGCTCTACATAGCCTGGCCCAAAAATTCAGCTGCATTTTGATCCAGCGGTTCATAAACATGTGAATTGGATACACTTGCAGCATACCGATTGCAAGAAATTTGAAAACACCACGTTATTCACTTTGCACTGATACCTGCTTTTGGAGAATGTCTGTAAGGGAGTCGCCCGATTGTTGTCAAGCGGTGATGGCTTCCTAGCTTATCTTGACTGAAGGAAGAATTTACTCTAATAGCGACAAGTTTTGCTTCCTATCCGTCCAGCAAAGTGGTACACAGATCTGTTAAAATTATGGAATCTTCCCTGGAATTAAGATGAATCTGAGAACAAACTGGAACTACAGCCTGGAATATGACCTAATTGATAGCACTTGCTGGCATTTTTGAGTCAGAAAGTTGTATTAGAGAAACTGTGTGACTATCTAAAATATATTTCTTGCCCACTAACTGAAGCCACTCTAGAAGAGAAGATAAGCTGTCATTCCACCCATGCCACAGCCTGAGATAAGTAGCAGGTGATGAGCATCCTACATGCGAGAAAATACAGTATTTTACACTGACTCCCATCCTTTGCTTTCTTTTCTCTCCAGCATGGTCCTCTGCTTTGAGCCATGGTGGTCTCGGGTATGCTCCTTCCACTGTTCAGAAGTTAGTTTATCTTTCTCTGAACCTAATCTCGAACTAGCAGAAGTCCACAGCAAAATCTTGCCATGAGTGGGAGCTTTGTTGCGTGGGGGCTTCCTGAGAACTCGTGGCCCTCTATTAGCCTGTGCGTAAGAGGCTGAAACATGAACGGGTTCATATGTTTCTGCTCTCAGCTTGTCCTTTCCTTCATAGCTCCCTCTTCTTCCAAGACATAGGCGAAGCTCTTCGAATCCCGTTGGCTGTGCTAGGTAACGTTACGGTAGCAAAACCCTAAAGCTGCAGCAACTGATAATATCTGACCGTGTGATCTGTTGCATATAGTTTTCCAAGGTCCATATTCCCCCAAGTTCTTCATATTCTTGACAGATTTTTTTCTGTACATCAAGGAGGGGGATCCCATGCCCAGAGAGTTCGCAAGACAGAACTATTTCCACTTTTTAAACGTGTATATACTTATCACTTCAAAACAGAGTATTTGTAGAAGTTTTCACTGTCTAGTCAAAATTCCTGCATTGTCAGAGGTGCTGGTGAGATGTTCATGAAACCTCCCTGGACTAGCTGATGGAAAATACAGCAACAAAAGAATGTCCCAAATAAGAGCAATCCCTTGTGCTTCCAGAATCATCAGTTTGAGTTTTCATTTTAGTCTCTCTGTGCATTTTTAGGACTGATTCATTAGGCTTCTGCCAGGGGCTGTCAGGTAAGGGGTTGAAATTGTTACAAAAAATGTGCTGAACTGGTCATGCATTTCTAGCAAAATCCATTTATCATGTGAGTGCAGCTGAAAATGGAGGGGGGAAGAGGCAAGCTGTTTAAAGTGAAAAGCTTACTTGCCAGTGCCCCAGGTTTTTAAATGAATAAACCCTTTATCTCCTGAGAATAACCAAAAAACAGCTCTTTAACTTGATTTTTTTTAAAACCACTACTTTCTTTTGTTGGCATTTCACTAGTCTTGAAATGAAAACAGCGTTCTTTTTTAGAAATACCTATATGAAGTTTTTAAGAAGTTTGCGTCCAATTATCATTCTCTCCAGAAAACTTTTCATATCATTATTTTGCCAAATGTCTTAACCTGGAGCGTTTCGTCAGACTTTCAGATCCTCAGAAGGTGGAGAATTAGGGAACACAACATTTAGTGACCTTTGCTTCATTTCACTTATGTGATGTGGATTATTAAAAGAAGATGCTTATTTCTAAGTCCAGATTTTTAAAAAAGAGTTATGCACTTCCTTCTCCGCATTATGAATTTTGCTTACACTATGGAAAAAAACCTTGTATATTTACAGTAGTCTCCGAATGGAACTCGAGCTGAGAGGAGGTCTCACGCGCGCAAGCTGCTGCACTGGCCTCCGTCCCGCAGCCCTGACCAGGCTCAGGCTCTGTGGGGAGACTGGAGCAGGACCATCGAGTCCTGGCTGCCTGCAAAGATCCGTGGGTCCCAGCTACGTGGTGGCTTCAGAGGACATGTGTGTGTTTCTAAATAAAATAGAAAGGCCCCGATACTAAAAGGCGCGGCTGAGGCGCCACGTAGGCCGCAGCGCCGGTGCCTCAGCGCTGAGGACGTGTGAGGCTTCTCATGCCATCATCTCCATGAAGGCAAGGCCAAAACATGGCCGTGCTGATGTACGGCTGGTCAAACCTGCACAGCCAACATGGGGAACACATGGCAGGTAAAAGGAGAAAGAGGAGCAGTGTTTAAGAAATGTGCATCTTTACATGAGATTGTACAGCTCTGCTCTGCAAGTAGGAAACTTAGGTCATGCTTTAATAGTTTCCATTTTTACATAGGCTAGTTTTTATTACACATGTTAATGACCTAATGCAGCAACCTAATTTAATACAGTCAATTCTCATTGTTCATTTGAATTTTCCATGATTGTTATGTGGTTAACTTTCAATAGTTTTAGCGCATGGATCATGAAAATCAGCTCTTCCAGACTTTTTTTTTTTTCCCCTGCTGCTGCTCACGCTTTTCTGGTGGGGATATTCTGCTGAATGACTGTGACCTTTGCAAGCAGTCAAAAACAGCACCATTTAAAATGGTAAACTGGGTTTGAGCCAGTGCCCTTGTTTCATCTTGACAAACAGTAAACTGACTATAAGAGCGACTATTTTCTTTATTATTTATTTGATTTTCACAAAAGGAAGTTGTCAAAGTTCAGTTCAGTCACCTTGGAATTTATATTGCCTTTATGTGATGAAGCACCCCATAAAATGTGATACAATTCCTCACTTACATCACAGCATTTAACAGATCAGGATCCCAGGCCGCGTGCAGCACAGAAGCGCTGGACCAACACGCTTTTTGGCTGTACAGCTTCAACATAGCTCCTTTCTGGTATTGTACAACACTAGTGATTAAACACTGAATGAGACAACAACAAAAATGCTAATTTGTTATCTTTTAGAGGGTTGATTAAATATAAGGAACTGAAAAATTCTATGTACGTTTTATTTGTAATTTTCAGTAGATCACATGTGTGCATTATCCTTTAAATTACACAGAATACAGGTGATAGGAAATTAAAGAAATCTGCTGTGGTGGAGGAAAACCTCGTTAAGAGTTTAATGCACCATTAGTCAAGTACACTGTCAGTTCAGCAAGACACTATTCAATAAAGCACCTTACTGACTTTCCCATCACTGGGAGCTTTTGTATATGGCTACAAGCTCACGAGGTCTAGCAGAA